TTCCAGTACATCATGCTGATGGGAATGTTCTGCTCTCTGACCCAGAGCCTCCAAAGATTCGCATCCCAAGACACCTGAAGCAAACCTACATCCGCCGAGTTGGAGAAGCCGTCAATCTGGTTATCCCTTACCAGGTAAGACTTGTGGGTCGGCTCACCTTCTATTTCCAGAGCTGGATGTTTAAAAAGTGAAGGGAGACACTCTTAACATTAAGTTCATCATGGTGAAGGTTATGTCAGAGGGACACTTGGTAAATAATGGAAGAGATTTGGGGGGATCTGAGTTGGAATCAACTGTAGGGCAGTGAGTTTAGTTTGTTATAGAAAGAAGGAGCCCTGGTGGCACTACGGCTCAGACATGAGGCAGCCAACCACAAGGTTGGCAATCCAAAAGCCGAGGGCTGCTTTAAGCAAGAATGCGGAGGCAGCCCACTCTTGGGAAGATTTTTCATCTCAGAAACACCCTGTAGGGTCACTATGAGTCAGAATCAACTTAATAGCACTGGGGGTGGGAGGTAGGGGGTATTGTTTGTTTGTTTATAGAAATAAAGAAACCTACTGAAAACCAAAAAAACCGCAATTGATCTTTTGACATGAGCCTTTGACACCCTGCTTATGATGGTTTTGAAGCAACATGAATTCACAGTTGGTTGGGTCTCCTGTTAGGTACGTTTTATAGAAATAGGGAACCCTGTTGGTGCCATGGCTTAGATTAGGCAGCCAACCACAAGGTGGACAATTCAATAAATAAAGATCAAATCTAGTCCAGCAGTGGGACTAGGTGGGGAAGAAACGAGGAGCCCTGGGAGTGCGGTAGTAACATGCTCAGCACCAGCAGCAGGTTCAGTGGTTTGAACCCAGCAGCTGCTCTCTGGAAGAAAAGCCTTGGCAATCTGCTCCCATGATGACAGCCTAGGACATGGGGCGGCTCTGCTGTGTCCTGTAGGGATAAGGCATGAGGAGGATTCAACATCTTCATGGGAAAATGGACTTGAAAGATGATCGTGGATTTTGAAAATGATGATGGCAACAAACAAATGTGCTTGACACAAAGGACGGATGTCAAGTACAAATGTGCTTGACACAATGGACAGAGGTGTGGATGGTGATAAGAGTTGTACGAGCCCCCAATAAAATGATTTTTAAAAAAGATGATAGTGGAATTTGTCCAAGAACCTTTTGAAGCCCCCTTGTTTATAGGTTAACATGGATGAATTGGAACAACTCAACAACAGGGAGGAAACAACAAGGATCTACACCAAAGAAGAAATGCTTGAAGATTCTTTCTGGTCCTGGAAACCTGTAAAATGAAGTTCTCACTCCAGAAACCACTGACCTTTTGGGTTGTGGCCAGATGCTTTACCCCTGTGCCACTAGGACACAACATCTCGATAATTAAACAAAACAAACCCACAGCCATCCAATCACTTCTGGTGCATAGTGGCCCTGTAAAGGCTCGCTGGCGCTGCGGTAAAGCTTTACAGGAGCAAAGGGCCTCTTCTTTCTCCCATGGAACAGCAAGCATCTAAATCACATTCATAAAAATACCTGTGTGGCCTATTGGTTTACACATCTGCAAACCACAAGGTTAGCAGTTCTAACCCACCAGCTGCTCCATGGAAGAAAGATGAGGCTTTCTGCTCACAGAAAGATTTACAGCCTCAGAAACTCAAGGCGGGTTGGGCTCCTCTGCCCTGTAGGGTCACTGTGGCGTTGGAATTGACACCACCACAGTGAGTTTGGGTTTGGTTTTCATGAGTGTGCCAAAAAGCTTTCTAAAGACTCAGCTTTTATGACCATCCTGTGAGGTCAGTACTTTCCTTGTTCCCTTTACTGATTGGGAAACCACGGCACAGAGGGTTTAAGTAACTTTCCAGGGTCACAAAGCTATTCAACACGGATCCCATGAGGCCAGAGTCCGTCCGTGATCTTGACCATTATGCTGTCCTGTGCAGGCTCTGGAGCCTGGGTGTGAGTCCTGGGTCCAGGACTCATTTAGCTGCAAGACGTTGGGCAAGTCATTTAACTCCTTTATCTAAAAAAATTAGGAAAATGATACTTCCTTTGATGCGATGATGAAGAGAAATGATTACACATACCCAACATAGCACCTTCCCCACGAATGTAGTCAACAAGCACCCCCGGACCGTTACTG